TTTTTTTTTTTTTTTTTTTTTTTTTTTTTTTTTTTTTTTTTTTTTTTGGTTGGGGGGGGGGGGGGGGGGGGGGGGGGGGGGGGGGGCGGTTACACCTTGCGAGTTGTCCAATTTTTTTGCTGTGAGAGAAACCCTTTTTGTTGTGTGTGTCGTGGGTGGTCTTTTCTCGTGTTGTGTTGAAACTTCAGGCGTTTTGGTGGCCGGGCTGCCGCCGTCGTTGCTGTGTTTTCGTGAAGAGAGGCGCCAGAAATAGCTTGACGATTTTTGTTTTCTACCGTTGTTTCTGCTTTCTTGGTAACCGCTGGTGGGTCTTTTGTAAATCAGTAAAACCAATCGTTGTGCAAGTTTTAAAGAAATTGTCAAACAATTTTGATGATTAAAAAATGGCCACTTGATACCAAAATCTGGTGTGTGTTCGTGCTTGTGATGAGGTGTGTCTGTGCGACTCCTCAAACCACTCGGCGTTCCACACGCAACGTTCTGATCGGCGTAATTCGTGCCGTGTCCGTACTCATGTGATAGACTTCGCGGTCAGTTCGACGAAGCGCGGGGAGACTCTGTTCTCCTGTGAGCGTTAGTTGTGTTTGATCCTCAGTTTCCGAGCGAAGAGTGTTCTTTTTTCGGTGAACGAACGAGCATGTCGCGCGCCTGTTTCTCCGGCACAGTATTTCTTTGCCGGGGTGATAACTGCCTAATCACACACATTTTTCTGCTGTCGAAGAACAACACAGGCAGTAGCGATGGATCTGACCGGCCCTTTTTTTTGTGCCACTGCACAGCCACGCACGTGGAGGGAGTTGCGCACCCATGTTTCTTTCCCTGCGCAAGCTGCATGCATCTCTTCCGACAGCTTTCCCCCCCTTTTTTTCCATTTCAATGTTTTACCCCCAGTCCTCGCAGTGAGCACCGCAAGAAACCAGTATATGCTCGGCCCGACCGTACATTTGTATAATTGAGGCCCAATCGTAGCTTGCCAGTTGTACAGAGGCCCGACATAAAACGTCACCCCAGTCTCTGTTTCACGGTCGATCCCAGAGCTTCACCTTGGTGCGTCCTCTTTTTTGCGACAGAGACGATCCTTCGGTTTGGGCGTCGCTGCTCTTTGCGTCCCACTAATTCGCAAGACAAATTTGGGTTGTCCCTTGTATTTTTTCTTGCCCACTGCTGGCACATGGTATTTTCGCCCTTGCCCGCCTTGTATGAAGTACAAAAAACAGACCACGAAATCATGCGCCGTGTCCTATGCGTGCCCTAGTGGGCGAGACCCCCCCGCATCACACGCGAAGAACTCTTTCGGCGGGGACCCCCTATTTCCGGTGTACATCTTCTTGGAGGTTTTTTGCCTGTTTTTTTTGCCAACCGCGTTTTCATACCCTCCTGTGTCGCGAAAAAACAGCCGCCACGCTCCTTGAAAATAGTTGTATAACCCCGTGCGAGAGAAATTCCCGAGTCGATCGGGGTTGTGGGTGAGTGGAGAAAGAAACCTGCTGGTCTGGCGTACTTGTCTGTTGCTTCACCTAGTTCTCGAGGGTTTCGAATTTAACAGTTCGCCCCGGCCTGTTTGTCTCTTTATCGCAAGAGTCAACCATTTCCACACGGGAAGAACAGCACAAACTACGTGTACAGCAGCCACAGACGGTGCTGTAGCCACGTGATAGCTCTGCTGCCGTCGCGCCGCCCAAAGCTCGGATACTCGTGACCTGGGATAGATTTACCTCGTTTTCCTGTTCATCCGTCTGTCGCGAGATTTCATACGAAACATAATTACGGATGGCAATAAAATTCCGGCGGGCGAGCAAATAACACCTCCATGCAGCACAGCAAAGGAATTCCAGAATGTAGATTCGTGCTCCCCTTTTCCTCCTTCCGCCGTACATGTCGAATACGGGCACAGCTTGCACACGCTTGGGCTCGATTACTGACCGTTCCGACGAGCAAAATTAATAATAAATGACATAGTGACGAACGAAAGCACGATGACACCACGTGTGCGCGCGTGCGCGCGGATCTGAGGCCGAAACGTAAATGCCTCAAAAACTCCGTCTCAAGGAGGAAAAGCAAGTGCGCCCAGAGCATGCTCGAAAGAGCCACGGTAATACCGTTCCTGCGGGGTCCTACACGAACCACATGCCACCAGTGCGATGTTGGCGAAGACTGAAAAAACGATGGGAAAAAAAAAAGAGGTGGCGCCAAAACCCGATGTTCAACCATCGGCGACGCTACGCAAGACGCACGCGGCGTGCTGCGCACCACGTAACCCACGCACGTGCCGGACAACTCACCACGCGACCAACCAAACCATGCGATCATGTGCACGGACTTTCAAAATCCGTGTCGCGCTGGAATCCCTCCCCCCCCCCCCCCCCCCCCCCCCCCCCCCCCCCCCCC